ATGATGCCAAGAAGAACAATAACCAAGCAATGCCCACTGCCACGCTTCTCTGCAGGGCTTAAGAGAGCAGCAGATCTGTCTGGTGACAGCCGTCTCCAGCTCTGCTCAGCCTCAGGCCCTCATGCTGGGGCAGGATGCGCCATCCCCGGAGGCTTTCTCTGAACAAAGCACTGCCTGGCCATGGTGAGTGGGAGGCTGGACCGTGATCTCCAGAAGTTCCTGCCAACCTGCATTTCTGTGCTCCTATTGTTTATTCACCTTGGCCCCATACAAAGCAAATGCAGCTGTAAAGCCAGCCTTGATACCCACCTGCTGTTCCTGTCACTCCCTGTTTGCTTTGTATACCTGCAGTACCCTCAGTTTCCACCCAAGTGAGTTCCTCCTTTAAAACCCCTCCTTTTATTGGAGTTCCATCCTAACGTCAGGACAAACCACATTCTACTCAGGTGCTTTTGAAGCTGTTATACTGTTAATTGGTCCTGAATTCTGACCTCTCTTATCCATTAGATTTCATGTCTAGAATATCAAACCAAAAAGCCTCTTATCAATCCTCCAATGTTGAGCTAAAACCTAACACTATAAATAGCAGGTGAACACACCTGTAAGGTACTGGACAACTGAGCCTTTCATCAGAATGTGCTAATGAACATTCGGCCTTGTGGACGAGGCTCCAGTAGCAAAGTTAAGACATACAAAAAGCAAATGTGTGTTCTTTTCATTCCTTTTTGATGGTTGTATTACTTGGTACAATCAGGCATCTTTTTAGTGAAATTAACTACTCTGAAATTGTCATCAAATAATGAAGTTTGAGAAATATTTAAGATCACACGAGTCCTTTGTGAAGCCCCATTTTCTTCAGATATCTGAACATTAACAGATGCTGACATGGGGATTTTTCATCTTGCAGAACTGAAGTAAAGGCACCTTCCAAACCACAGGAGCTAAGTCAGTGCATCTGTCAGTCCATTTCAGTTTCAATTGTCCATGTCACCAGGCTCCAGTTTCTTCTGCAGGGCCTGGAGCTACCGCTGTATTTGTAGCAGGTGACCATAGCTTTATGGATGGCATCCTCAGTTTGGGAAGAACAAGCCCAGGACTCCGTCTTTACCAAATGCTGCACGCTGCTCATTTGCTGCTCGGCACAGAAACCAGAGGAAAACACAACTTCCATGTTCTTGCTGCAGCAGATTTCTCTGCCAGGAAAAACATTTTTACACTTTTTTTTTGCATGTGTGTTTTAATGGTTGCTATTTCTACATTATCTATTCCCAAGATTATTTCCTGTGGGAAAGACTTAATATCTTTTAATTCCAATAATAATTTTAGTAACAGTTGTCATTTTCTGCCAATGTTTCTGCATTTTTGGATAGAACCAAATTATATGTTCTAAATTCCTTTTCTTATTACAGTTTCTCTAGGAAAGCTTTTAAGGCAGTTATTTCATACCTTAAAAAAAGAGCAGAATTGTCTTCTGTTTGTGAGACTGAGTTTCCATCAGGTTACAGGCTCTCGCCTGCTTCCTGCAGAGTTAACCTCATTCTTCCATTCCCATTGAAAAGTCTCCGTCATTTAGCTTCTGTGTTATTCAAGCTAGGTACCTGGTTTTAACTTCCTCTGCTACTTCTTTGGCTTCCAACTAGGGATGATTTGATTATCAAGAAGTATTGCTGCTTGTTGGCAAAGCTGTGAAAGGCTGCAGGGATCCTCCCTGCCCCTGTGCCACCAGCACCCCTTGTTTTATGAGGTTTCCATTGTGGAAACAGCAACTACTTACATTTTTCAGGCAATTTTAGACACTTCTGTACACACAGGAAGTGGCGTTACTGTGCGTATGTGTCTTTGCTGAAACCTAGGGATGAAATTCCTGTCTCTCAGACATCAGCAGCAGGTTCAGCCTTGACATAAGTTGGTATTGCATCTCTAATGTCAGCGGTGGCCTTAACTAGGAACACTACTTCAGAATTAATGAACTCCTCAATTTCAGCCAGGAATAAATACATCTGAGGGGGGTTATGTTGGTTGTTTTGTAAAGGAAGATTTTTCTTATACAAACACTGAATTGATATAACTTCTTAAAAGCAGATC